ACTGTCAAGCAACAATATGTCTGTCTGTCTGTCTGTGTCTGCCTGTCTGTCTGTCCCAACGGCTTGCATACCTGCCATTTGGATTTTAAAGTGTAGTCAGCGACGGCCAGGTGTCCTCCTCCTACACCCAACACTTACAAACCCCTAATTGCCACTTAAAACACCCTCCTCCCTCACACTCCCCCCCCCCCCCTCTCTCTCTCTCTCTCTCTCTCTCTCTCTCTCTCTCTCTCTCTCTCTCTCTCTCTCTCTCTCTCTCTCTCTCTCTCTCTCTCTCTCTCTCTCTCTCTCTCTCTCTCTCTCTCTCTCTCTCTCTCTCTCTATGTCACTCACATACGCACAAGGGCCTCGAGGCTGAGTGAAAAGCGATCGAGGGTCGTAGTCCTAGGGGGCCCGGGTTCGATTCCCCGCCGAGGGGGAAACAAATCGGCAGTTTCTTTCACCTTGAGGTCCCTGTTTATCTAGCAGTAACTAGGTACCTGGGGGTTAGACAGCTGCTACGGGCTGCTTCCAGGGGCTGTGTGTGTGTGCGTGTGTTAGAAATATATGTAGTAGATAAAATAGAGGAAAAATAGACTGGTTAGGCGGGGTGAAAGAGCTAATAGCTCTATTCTGCAGACACTGATAGTAAATTCGCGCGCGCGCGTGCACACACACACACACACATACACACACACACACACACACACACACACACACACACACACACACACACACACACACACACACACACACACACACACACACACACACACACACACACACACACACACACACACACACACACACACACACACACACACACACACACACACACACACACACACACACACACACACACACACACACACACACACACACACACACACACACATACACATACACATACACATACACATACACACACACACACACACACACACACACACACACACACACACACACACACACACACGCACACACACACACACACACACACACGCACACACACAGGAGTGGAAAGAGCTAGATGAAGTTTTCGAAGCCAATTGGATTTAGATTTAAAGGTAAATATGATGAGAAAAAGAGTAAAAAGAGTTACCGCCTTATACTATTGATAGTCAATAGACGAGGCTTAGAGTAGGTGGTTGACCCTGCAAGCACAATTAGGTGAGCACACAGACTCACGGAGATATTCCATACAAATAAATTTCACATATAAGGTAAACATACAGTGGCCTTGCCTCGAGATGTTTATTGTTTAATCAGACCATTTAAAAGCAGTTAGCCGACTTATAGAATCACGGTTAATCAAGCTACCGAAAACTTGGTTAATTAACTCGGCTTAGTGTAAACCCATTCAGTAGACCCAGGAAACCGTTAAATCCAAGACATACCACTAGACGTATTCTGAAAGGTCCTTTTACGTGATATGCTAGACTGACGGTCTCTGTGTTAGGCGGACGAGGCTAACAGGGAATTAAGCAAGCAAGCAAGCAAGCACGGCTTGACGCAACTCTCTGAGGGTGGGAAGGTGGGAAGGTGGGATGGGGTAGCAAGCAAGCAAGCAAGCCAGCAAAGGAGGCTCTCGTGGAAAGCAGTGTGGATACAACATAAAGGGAGTCTTGTGTTGAGAGTGGCTAGTCATGGTAAGGAAACAGAGGCACACACACACACACACACACACACACACACACACACACACACACACACACACACACACACACACACACACACACACACACACAGGAGTGTGTTTGAATGAAATTGAGTACCGAAATGAGCCTTAGAGGCATTAGAAAGAATTTTTTCAGTGTTAGAGTAGTAGACAAATGGAATGCATTAGGAAGTGATGAGGTGGAGGCAGACTCCATACACAGTTTCAAGTGTAGATATGATAGAGCCCAATAGGTTCAGGAACCTGTACACCAGTTGATTGACAGTTGAGAGGGGGGGGACCAAAGAGCCAGAGCTCAACCCCCGCAAGCACAACTAGGTAAGTACAACTAGGTAAGTACACACACACACACACACACACACACACACACACACACACACACACACACACACACACACACACACACACACACACACACACACACACACACACACACACCCACACCCCGCTCCATACCCCCACCTCAGAGCCGACGCTTAAGAGGAAGGAGGGAGTGGGACGAGTTTGTGATTACTTAGCAAGGAGGTCACTGTTTGAACAGGTCGTGTTGTTGAGTAGGTGTCTGGGCAGCATGTGTAAGAGGTGGAGGGGGGCAGGGGTAGCGTGTTGCTGGCGCAGTGGTCAGCGCAATTAGTTCATTGCCGATTTTTTTTTTTTTTTTTTGTAAATTTTGCCCCGAGGGGCGAGTTTATTGGGCAGCGCCATTCATTTGTGAGTGGACACACCGCCATAGCAGCATGTACAACACTCCGAAATGTCCTCAGGTTCGATTTCCGTGGCAAGAAAGTGACAGTTGCTTTCACTTGATGCATCTGTTTACCTAATATTAAGTATGTTCGCATGTTAAAAAACTGTTGTGGGTTACATCCTTGGGAATGTCTGTCGTTGGCCTTGCGTTACTTCAACAAACCTACTAGGCTTCCTGTCCCCGACAATTGCAAATCATAATCTGGTAAAACAAAAAGTAGGAAGTAGCTAAGGAAGGAATGGAGAGAGTAAGTGCTTTCCTCTTTTTTGTTCTAATATTAACTCCTAAACTTTCTGGGGTTGGTTCTTAAGTATATTTTTTGTCTTTCTGTTTTAAATTTGTAAGCTTACCCAAATTTTGTTCGTGCCTACCCTATGCTTGTCCACTTTGCCTGCCTTTTATATCGGCTCCAGTCATCCGTTGAGATAAGACATTACAACATTCTGATTATCTTGTATGCTATAAAGCATATAAGATAATGACGTCCTGGGTGTATGCTTTATAGCATACAAGATAATCAGAATGTTGTAATGTCTTATCTCAACGGATGACTGGAGCCGATATAAAAGGCAGGCAAAGTGGACAAGCATAGGGTAGGCACGAACAAAATTTGGGTAAGCTTACAAATTTAAAACAGAAAGACAAAAAATATACTTAAGAACCAACCCCAGAAAGTTTAGGAGTTAATATTAGAACAAAAAAGAGGAAAGCACTTACTCTCTCCATTCCTTCCTTAGCTACTTCCTACTTTTTGTTTTACCAGATTATGATTTGCAATTGTCGGGGACAGGAAGCCTAGTAGGTTTGTTGAAGTAACGCAAGGCCAACGACAGATATATCCGTTTTTCTAAGATATCATATATCATATGATCATATCCGTTTTTCTAAGAGAAGCCGGGCTCAGTCTCTCCCAGTGCGTACCTGTGTAGTCCGTGATAGCCATGTGATGTTGTTGTTTTAGATTTAGCTACTCAGAACGTAATGTCCATGTAGCACGGGCTATGGTGAGCCCGTAACCCCTCACAGCCATGTGATATATCTCTGGACATTTATTTAAGTTGGCAAGGTGTTCGTGACGCTGGTGCTCGGTCGTCCTGGGTGACACCGGTGCTCAATCGTCCTGGGTGACGCCAGTGCTCAATCGTCCTGGGTGACGCCAGTGCTCGGTCGTCCTGGGTGACGCCGGTGCTCAGTCGTCCTGGGTGACGCTGGTGCTCGGTCGTCCTGGGTGACACCGGTGCTCAATCGTCCTGGGTGACGCCAGTGCTCAATCGTCCTGGGTGACGCCAGTGCTCGGTCGTCCTGGGTGACGCCGGTGCTCAGTCGTCCTGGGTGACGCTGGTGCTCGGTCGTCCTGGGTGACACCGGTGCTCAATCGTCCTGGGTGACGCCAGTGCTCAATCGTCCTGGGTGACGCCAGTGCTCGGTCGTCCTGGGTGACGCCGGTGCTCAGTCGTCCTGGGTGACGCCAGTGCTCAGTCGTCCTGGGTGACGCCGGTGCTCAATCGTCCTGGGTGACGCTGGTGCTCGGTCGTCCTGGGTGACGCCGTTGCTCAATCGTCCTGGGTGACGCCAGTGCTCGGTCGTCCTGGGTGACGCTGGTGCTCAGTCGTCCTGGGTGACGCTGGTGCTCGGTCGTCCTGGGTGACGCCGGTGCTCAGTCGTCCTGGGTGACGCCGGTGCTCAGTCGTCCTGGGTGACGCTGGTGCTCGGTCGTCCTGGGTGACGCCGGTGCTCAGTCGTCCTGGGTGACGCTGGTGCTCGGTCGTCTAAGCACTGACGACTGAGTGTGCTACCATGCTCTGAATTCTACTGTCACCAGTGGAGTACCCCCCATACAGTCACCAGTGGAGTACCCCCCATACAGTCACCAGTGGAGTGCCCCCCATACAGTCACCAGTGGAGTACCCCCCATACAGTCACCAGTGGAGTACCCCCCATACAGTCACCAGTGGAGTACCCCGCCATACAGTCACCAGTGGAGTACCCCGCCATACAGTCACCAGTGGAGTGCCCCGCCATACAGTCACCAGTGGAGTACCCCGCCATACAGTCACCAGTGGAGTACCCCGCCATACAGTCACCAGTGGAGTACCCCGCCATACAGTCACCGGTGGAGTACCCCGCCATACAGTCACCAGTGGAGTACCCCGCCATACAGTCACCAGTGGAGTACCCCGCCATACAGTCACCAGTGGAGTACCCCGCCATACAGTCACCAGTGGAGTACCCCGCCATACAGTCACCAGTGGAGTACCCCGCCATACAGTCACCAGTGGAGTGCCCCGCCATACAGTCACCGGTGGAGTACCCCGCCATACAGTCACCAGTGGAGTACCCCGCCATACAGTCACCAGTGGAGTGCCCCGCCATACAGTCACCGGTGGAGTACCCCGCCATACAGTCACCAGTGGAGTACCCCGCCATACAGTCACCAGTGGAGTACCCCGCCATACAGTCACCAGTGGAGTACCCCGCCATACAGTCAGTCACCAGTGGAGTGCCCCGCCATACAGTCACCGGTGGAGTACCCCCCATACAGTCACCAGTGGAGTACCCCGCCATACAGTCACCGGTGGAGTACCCCCCATACAGTCACCAGTGGAGTGCCCCGCCATACAGTCACCGGTGGAGTACCCCGCCATACAGTCACCAGTGGAGTACCCCGCCATACAGTCACCAGTGGAGTACCCCGCCATACAGTCACCAGTGGAGTACCCCGCCATACAGTCACCGGTGGAGTACCCCGCCATACAGTCAGTCACCAGTGGAGTGCCCCGCCATACAGTCAGTCACCAGTGGAGTACCCCGCCATACAGTCACCAGTGGAGTGCCCCGCCATACAGTCACTAGTGGAGTACCCCGCCATACAGTCAGTCACCAGTGGAGTACCCCGCCATACAGTCACCAGTGGAGTACCCCGCCATACAGTCAGTCACCAGTGGAGTGCCCCGCCATACAGTCACCGGTGGAGTACCCCCCATACAGTCACCGGTGGAGTACCCCGCCATACAGTCACTGGTGGAGTACCCCGCCATACAGTCACCAGTGGAGTACCCCGCCATACAGTCACCGGTGGAGTACCCCGCCATACAGTCACTGGTGGAGTACCCCGCCATACAGTCACCGGTGGAGTACCCCGCCATACAGTCACCGGTGGAGTACCCCCCATACAGTCACCAGTGGAGTACCCCGCCATACAGTCAGTCACCAGTGGAGTGCCCCGCCATACAGTCACCAGTGGAGTACCCCGCCATACAGTCACCGGTGGAGTACCCCGCCATACAGTCAGTCACCAGTGGAGTGCCCCGCCATACAGTCAGTCACCAGTGGAGTACCCCGCCATACAGTCACCAGTGGAGTGCCCCGCCATACAGTCACTAGTGGAGTACCCCGCCATACAGTCAGTCACCAGTGGAGTACCCCGCCATACAGTCACCAGTGGAGTACCCCGCCATACAGTCAGTCACCAGTGGAGTGCCCCGCCATACAGTCAGTCACCAGTGGAGTGCGCCGCCATACAGTCAGTCACCAGTGGAGTGCCCCGCCATACAGTCAGTCACCAGTGGAGTGCCCCGCCATACAGTCACCGGTGGAGTACCCCCCATACAGTCACCGGTGGAGTACCCCGCCATACAGTCACCGGTGGAGTACCCCGCCATACAGTCACCAGTGGAGTACCCCGCCATACAGTCACCAGTGGAGTGCCCCGCCATACAGTCACCGGTGGAGTACCCCGCCATACAGTCACCGGTGGAGTACCCCGCCATACAGTCACCGGTGGAGTACCCCGCCATACAGTCACCAGTGGAGTGCCCCGCCATACAGTCACCGGTGGAGTACCCCGCCATACAGTCACCGGTGGAGTACCCCGCCATACAGTCACCAGTGGAGTGCCCCGCCATACAGTCACCAGTGGAGTGCCCCGCCATACAGTCACCAGTGGAGTACCCCGCCATACAGTCACCAGTGGAGTGCCCCGTCATACAGTCACCAGTGGAGTGCCCCGCCATACAGTCACCAGTGGAGTGCCCCGCCATACAGTCACCAGTGGAGTGCCCCGCCATACAGTCACCAGTGGAGTACCAGGCTTGCCACCTTTCCCCTGCCCCTACCAGTGTGTGACACCAAGATCAATGTACTGAAGCTGCTTCGTCATATGGTTTCAGTGTGAGTGACTGTGTTTGTGGTGAAACAGCAAGTACTGGTGGAATTCTGAGCCTAGTTCCCCCCATGCTAATTAATATCATCCATGGTGAACACGTTTACCAGTTCAGTTCGTTGCACTCAGTCCTTTAATGATTACATGAGTCCAGAGACTGATCAGTTGTGCACCCAGCACCTCGTGTGCTACCATGTATGAGAAATATTCAATGAGATCATCTAGAGTAAGTTGATTAATTATATACCATTTATATCATAGTTACATTACTGAAGGAGAATAAATTTTATTGTACATGCAAGTTTTCCTGGGTACCTCGTATCAGGATCCCTCGTTTTCCAGCATCGGCTGTGATGCACAGTGAAATCACATTAACGTGATGTATCAATGAGAAAATCTGTAGGAGTCATGAAGAGGGATTCGAACCTGCTCACTTGGTACTCTCAAACTAGCGCCCTAGACTACCACTCCACGACAGTCAAAAAGCAATGCATTCTGGAATTCCTTTGAATCCTCTAAGATTCCTGAGGCTTATTACTGCTTACATTTCAACTTTCATTGTGCATGTGACGAGAAGCGTTGGAGAACTACTGGACCATTAGCCAGAGGGCATGGGATGCAATGCTTAAAACCCAGATTGGGCTTCAGTTGTAAGCCTCGGGAATCCTAAAGGATTCAGAGGAATCCCAGATTGCAATGCCTTTTAACTATATTGCGGTGTGGTGGTCTAGGGCGCTAGCTTAGGAGTACTAAGTGAGCGGGTTCGAATCCTCCTCATGGCTTCTACTGATTTTCTCATCAGCGGTAATATTAGCCATAGACAGCATTGCTAAGCGTCAGTAATGAATCCAGTCTATGAACAGGCGAACTAAATATGTTATTCATATAGGCTTCTGTATCCTTCTGTGGGACTTAGTTTTTAATATTTTAAATAATGTAACTCCCGTTTTGTTTAGATGCAAGTAGATAGTGTAAACATATTTCCTTTTACCTCAAGATTTGATACCCTTCCTCTTAGCATATGTTAACGGCCCCTTACAGATGATTCATAACCAGATTCATCAATACATTTGATACCAAACTTGCAGCTTACGAAGTCAATCCTCCAGGTTGATTTAGTAAGGCACGACTCAAATCCACAATCTAACTGTATTGATCATTGTGGCTAGTGCAAGGGGGGTTGAATGAAGTATAAAGAGGTACAAAGCTTCTTAGGTAAGAGTGGCCTGTTACTTAGACAATTCTGTATTTAATTTTGAGTCCTGGAAGGGTGGGGGAATTGATAACAGGGGAGAAGGTTGAGTGAGGTAGAGAAAGGAGTGGGGCAAATGGAGAGGGGGAGAGAGGGGAGAGAAGGGTAGGAATTAAGAGGAGTGGTTTCATTAGTAGTATTATGGACAAGATTACAGCAAAGCAGCTTAGAGGGATTAAAAGGATGGGGCGGGGTAGGTAAGGTGGGATGGAATAAGAACCTTGACATGAGAGGAACGGATGTGGTGAGTAAAGGGAAGGCAAATAAAGAGGGGAGGGATAGAAATGATGTAAAGAAAGTGGCAGGAAGAGAATAGAAAGAGGGAGTAGGAGAAAGAGAGGAAAATTAAGGAAGGAGGAAAAAGTAGGAGGGAGGGAGGAAGAGGTAGGAATGAATGAAGGAAGAAGGGAGGGAGGTAAGGAGAAAAATAAATGAAAGAGGAAGGAATGTGTGGAGAAAAAAGAAGTCAGGAAACAGAGTCGAGACAGTATTCTACAGATATATTAGAAGAGGGGGCACCACCCTCCTCTAATATTGCCTAAGAGACAACCATAACCACAACCGCTCGCCACAGTCTCCACCATCCAAACTGTCAGTGCTGTCAACCTCTCCCCGCTCCCACCACCCGACCAACACACCTTCATTGACTATGACTATTGGGTTTCAGAACCTGGCTCTAAACGCAAATAAAAGTCATCTTGTGCTGAAAATACTAGTGGTTAGTTAAAGTCGAGCGCCTCTGCAAAGGGATTTCATTTGGTGGGTCCCATCACAGACGAACATATTGGAGAACGACTGGGCCGATGACGTGAACAAGCCTGTTGTTGACAATCACCTAAGTCGACCTCACGGGCCTTCTAGACCTTCATGCAGATTAATGCAGTGGTCCACAGGTCTTGACATGCAAGTGGGAATTCTTTTGGTTTAGCAGAACCAAACAAGCTCCGAGAGGTTACTTAGTTGGTCAATCTTCGGATCATCTCCAGCATGCCAAGATGTTGGGACACTCCTCTGATAAGGCTTAGTATTAGTTACACTAAGTTGACTCACTAGGGTGATCGGGAAGATGGCTCCACTGTGATGCTTGCTTTATCACGATGAGTGTACAACACATGCTTGCACAGTGTCCTGCTCTGAGGGACCTCCGTCGCAGGTATCTGGATGAGAGTTGCAGATATCGGGGGAATAACTGTTGTCGCCGATGCTGAGGGCTCCTCTCCAGGTACCAATGGAGGGTATCTTCGGTTTTGTGGATGCCGATGGCCCCCACCACAGGCTGCGGCTGCCACTCATCTGGTCGGCTTCTGCAGAAATATGTGACATCTTTTGAATGACCTCGTTTCCTTTCGCTGCATTAGCCTTGCCAGTACAGCAGAACTGGCAGAACTGAACTGGCCTTGTTGTATTGACACTAGTGTGATTTCTGCAAATCACTCTTAACATAAATAATACAATTGTGATAAATCTCCCCATTGACCACAGCTACCATATTGACCATAGTTCCCACCACCGACTCGGGCAAAAGGGTCATCATGAGCGGCGACTGCTTATTCTGTAGCGAGGTGATCTATTTCTTGACGGCCGCCGGCGTGTTCGCTCTCAGGTAAGTGTACTTGCTGGGTCGAGGGATGAGGCTCCATGCCCCACTTTTCAAACTGATCTGGAGAATATATGTGTACGTATGTTCTTAAATTTGTGGGGATCAAAGTTTAGCGCCGCTGCCATGCCTCTTTAGCTGTCGGTCGTCTGACGCAGTGACTGGCAAAGTAACTGTCCTCTCAAATAATATATCACATATTAACGTCAAAATCCCCAGCGGATAAATAACGTGCTACTACAAATAATATCGGCTCAGGAATAATCACGTTTCCTATGCGTGTTGTTCTCGAACCCATTGTTGATATAACAATATACATTAAACTGTGTAATTAGTTAATCAAGACTGTAACTTGCTTAGCTAAATGAATTTTGGGGTTCGGTCGCTGAGCTCATTATGTGTCTCTGTAACCTTTTCCACTGCCACTCAATAGATGGGCATGGGGTGCATAATAAACTAAACTGCTTGGGTTGGTCGGTTAGGTTCGAGCGTTTTAGTGCATCGTTTAAACTCCTTTGTGGGAACGCGAGAGGACGGGCTGCAGTAAGTGAACATAACACAGCAGCTGCAGTGTCGGGGAAACGGGAAATGGCACAAGAATTCAACGGTTATGAACCCCTTATTCCCTTGCAGCAGCATAATAGAACAAAAGTACACATACACAGCATCAGCCTAGGTGTACATAGAAGAAGGCTAACAGGTTTTAGAAGAGGAAAACCTCATCTCTGTGGAGAGATGTTAGTCAGACTACTTAACAATATGTAATAGTCATGCTACAAATCTGATTACAAATAAGATTGGGTAACTAGCTTGCAATTTCGTTTGGGTTCGAGTCTTGGACAGGGCAGGTTGACTATGTACCAATGCATAACTGTTCGCCTATGTTTACGCAGCAGTAACTGGGGTGGTCGTGTTACAGAGAAGACAAGTAGGGTAAAGCTTAAGAGGAACTTTGGAAGGGGAAAGCCCCAAGACTGCTACTTAAACTGCCTGTTACTAATGCTGACATGAGTAGCGGTCCAGCCAGAGTATTTGAGCTCGTGCTGCTTAAAAGAACAGAAATCCTGGACATCATGGTTTTCATGTCTACTTTTGTAAGTGTCAAAGTTATTATCCTCAATAATCCTCCCTCTCACCTGCTCATTAATTATTCTCTGAAGTAGTATTAAGGTCTTTGTAATGTTTTCCTTTTGTATCCTCGTCCTCAGTGATGAAGCTCAGTAAGGTCTGCCGTCGTTCCCCAGTTAACTCAATTCTGGGATAATTCTTAAAGTGGCCTGTCGGATTTGGCCAATATTTATGTTGTTTATAAGGTAAATGTTCTGTGCTGGGGCTCGTTCCTAGAGTTTATTATAGTTTATACAGCTTAGCGTGGAGTCCGTATTTGTATGCTTACAAAACAAAGATGGCGGGGGGTGGGGAGAGATAGTGTGAGCGTTTTCGTGTGTCCATCAAGGATTGAACACGGCTGAACACTATCTAGAGGATAGTGATAAAGGCGATTGAGGTCGAAGCTCTATCGACTGGTCATTGAGTAGTCTTAATAAGATAAGTTTCCAGAAGCAGCATCCTTCTGCTATATGTCTGACTAATCCTTCTTCCACCCACTCTCCTTCATCACTATTTACTATTAAAAACGTTCAACTCTCAAACCTCTCGTTGCACAAATTCCTTTTAATGTATCTTTGTCTCATCTGACAATAAAATTTGAATTTTACAGTCATCGTTAATGGAAATTAAGACGGAAATAAGGGTGAGACAAAACTTAAGCAATTAATTTAGTTTGAGAGCACAGTGTAAAGTACCGGAAAGGAAATAGTGAAGATTAACTCCTTAAACAGATTCACACACGCAGATACTACAAAATCCTTGCGGGTGAGGGAGTCATCCTATAACTTATGTTATGGGATGACAAACACAAGGAGGATGAGATCCCTCCCCACTCACACCTACTGTGCAGGGCACCTATCTTGAGGTTATCTTGAGATGATTTCGGGGCTTTTTAGTGTCCCCGCGGCCCGGTCCTCGACCAGGCCTCCACCCCCAGGAAGCAGCCCGTGACAGCTGACTAACACCCAGGTACCTATTTTACTGCTAGGTAACAGGGGCATAGGGTGAAAGAAACTCTGCCCATTGTTTCTCGCCGGCGCCTGGGATCGAACCCAGAACCACAGGATCACAAATCCAGCGTGCTGTCCGCTCGGCCGACCGGCTCCCCCCGGCCGGGGGGAGCCGGTCGGCTCCTAATCCGGTCGGCTCCTAATCCGGTCGGCACCTAATCTCCAATCGTCTTAAAAGTCTTATCTTACTAGTATCCCTTCGTTTCTAGAGAGGTGGACGGTAGCAAGCACAGGTACGGAATTTAGGCAAACATTTTTTATTTTAACAATGATTATTATTATAACATAATTATAATAGGAACAATATTCATATTGGCGGTGGCAGTGGGTGGCTTGGCGACGGCAGTTATATATATATATATATATATATATATATATATATATATATATATATATATATATATATATATATATATATATATACATGCAAGGCTTGCAAATAAATACAATAAAACAAAGGCATAAGGATCAAACAAGACATGCAACACACAAAATCACCGGCCTTAAGGGCCACCACAAAACATAAACACGCTAAACAAACATACCGGTAGACAAACAGTACACACAAAACACAGCAACAGTACATAAGGGTAAATAGCAACAGAAAAGGAAATGCGTAAAATAAACACAGTAAACAAACAGAAAATAACAAGACTTGTAACTGGCAGGGATAACGAAATAGCCCGAAGGGCACTCAACAAAATACAAACAATCACATAAACAGTACATTATTTTACATATTTCTCCAGAAACCGGTTCTTCGGGAACGGACAGTGGACGCCTCCCAGTGTACCCACACCTCAAGCTCTTTCTCCACATAAGGAGGAGACAAAGAGCCCGGAACCTCCGACACGAAGGCATGTAACCTCGGGACCCAAATGGCACCCCAACCCATGGGAATCGGCGCCACACGCTCCCACATGAGGGGGGGGCAAGAGTAAAGTAGGGAGTGAGAACTTCAACCGGCTGCACCCAAGTAACTGCACGCCACTTCCACACCGACATCACCGAAGCCCGCAACTAAGCCGAAGAGAACACATAGGAGGACGCAGGTTGCCACGGGAGACACCAGAGCAGGGGGGGGCAAGACCACAGGGGCCTCCTCTGAAACATCTACATGCTCAGGCACCGGCTGGGACTCCCCAAAGCGAGCATCCTTCTTCAGCACCAGCACCAGGCCACCGCCCGCACCAGCACCATCCACGTCAGGAGGGGCGACCACCTCCCACCACAGAGAACCTCCTGCAGAAGAAA